GACGTATATGTGAAAGAAGATGGCAGTGTTGTGTCAAAAACGAGTGTCAGATGGAATAACAATGAAGAGAATGGGAAGTTGCGCCACAAATAGACAACTGCGTGAAGTATGTTGAATGGCAGGTGTGTCGAATGTTCTTCAAAGTACTCATATGATGGCGATGTGAGTTGTGTTGAGCCATCAACAGTTGACGTGAACTGTGGAACAGCAACTCCGGTTGGGTGTATCAGGTGTGATGGAAATACCTTCTTAAATGTAATGACACACAAATGTGAAACGTGCAACTCAAGTTGTGAAAGTTGTTTGGATTTGACAACGTGCCTGTCATGTGTAGATGGGTACTTTTTGAGTGACTACACCTGCAAATCGAATGACGCTTTGAATGACACTTGTGCACGAAAAGTACCAAATGGGAATGGCTGTTTGGAGTGCAAAATTGGGTATTACAAGAAGGGAGCAGATTGTGCGCAATGTGATGTCAAATGTGGTGAGTGTATGACAGAGAATTCGTGTATTAAATGCAATGCAACAAACTACAAAACGAGTAATGGCGATTGTCTTCCACGCTCTTCGATATCCACGTGTGCCGTTGAAGTGACTGAAAGTGGCTGTTCAACATGTAAAAACGGGTATTACACAGTCAATGGAAATGAGTGTCAGAAGTGTGTTGAAGGGTGTGCAAAGTGTTTAGAACAAAATCAGTGTACATCATGTGATGATACATATGTACTCAAAACCACCATGTGTGTGAATTATGCCAACATCACAAAGTGCACCAAAACAAAAGACTCAAAATGTTCATCATGTACATTTTGGTATTCACCAAGTGACGATGGCACATATTGTTCGAAAACGGCAGTGTGGTGGGTGATACTTCTTATAGTTGTTATCATCGCCATTCTTGTGTTGGTCACAGTGTTGGTCTTCTTTGTAATGGTTAAAGTCATTAAGAACAAAAGAGATACCAGTGGACTCACACTCTTCAAATTAAAGCACACAAATATGACTTTTGTTGAGATGGCAGACGGTCTGACAATTCACACCAGAAATGAAGAATTTGTGATCACTGATGATGACCAAGACTATGAGGAAATTGATGTTAACAAAGAAATTAAAAATTTGTTTTCTATTGGAAACACAACAAACCATAAAGTCAAGATTCAGTTCACTTCTAAAAGTGATATTGAAAAATACACAATCCGTTTTGAACTTTCAATTGTAACAATTCCCCCAAAATTTGCATGTGAATTTAGTCTATTTCTTAATCCATTGTGTACATCGACAATAGACAGTACTTTTGTTGTTAGTTATCTCTTTACTACGAGTGATGGTACATCATGTGCACACCATGTTAATTTTAAATACACCACCAAACTATCAACACGACTTGATCCAGACGAGTTGGTTGAAGAGAAGAAACTCGGAGAAGGTTCTTTTGGAATTGTGTTTAAAGGTATTTTCAGAGGAAATATCGTTGCTATCAAAAAGATGAAAAATTTAGTCAATTCTTCACATCAAATGGAAGAATTTGAGAATGAGGTTTTAATGTTAGACAAGTTTAGAAGTGAATATATCGTTTACTTTTATGGCGCTGTATTCATACCAAACAAGACATGTTTAGTCACCGAATTTGCACAATATGGCAGTTTACAAGACTTGATGAAAAATAAAAAGAGTGAAATTATTAATATAAAACTTCGTGTTAAATTCATGTCCGATGCTTCAAAAGGAATTTTATATCTTCACGAGAATGGGATGCTACACAGAGACATCAAACCAGACAACATCCTCGTGTTGTCGTTAGATTTGAATGGAATTGTGAATGCAAAGTTGACTGATTTTGGAAGTGCTAGAAATGTTAATTTATTGATGACTAATATGACCTTCACAAAAGGAATTGGAACACCAATTTATATGGCGCCTGAAGTGTTAAAACAGGAAAAATACACAAAAAGCGCAGACGTGTATTCATTTGCAATAACCATGTTTGAATGCTTTTCTTGGGAAGAGGCATATCCTATCACCACATTCAAATTTCCTTGGAAAATTGCAGAGTTTGTTTCATCCGGAAAGCGTCCTGATAAAAGTGAAACAATCCCAATTGTGTTGTATGAATTGATACAAAATTGTTGGGGACAAAAACAAAAAGAGCGATATGATATTCATCGCATCGAAGAACAGTTGCAATCTTTTTTTTAATCATCAATTATAAGAATATTAAGACAATAAACTATAAAATAACTGACTTTAACAAGTGATATTAATTGTAATAATTTTATATGAAGTAAATATTATTTTAAAATAATAAAGAAAATATAATTAATTTTAAAGTAGTATATAATAATAATAAAAGTGTTATCATTACTTTTACTAATAGGGTTCGCAACCATTGACAAAATATTTGCTGTTTGCCCGTTTTTCAACACAAAAAATACTTTGCTTTAATTGTTTTATTTTTACAACTAATCCCGATCTACAAAATCTCGAGATCTGAGATTTTATTAAAAAGATCTGCCATAACAACCAAAAAATCAAAGCCAAAAAATGAACCAAAAAATAATATTATTTTTGTAATAATGCATTTTAGTTTTATAAATTACATTTTTACTTTAAAACTTTAATGCCAAAATTATTTAACCTTTTAATTAAAAATCCAATATTTGCGCTTTTTTACCACCACGAATAAATGATATAATTACAATATTTTCAACAACTTCATATAATTGTTATATTGACTTTATATTATGACAACAATAATACTTTCTATTATTGCTGACATTTAAAAACTAAAAAAACAAGCCAAAATATAAGTAAAAACAGTATTTGGTATAACAGTACTCGTTAAAGAACAATAAAATTATAAATTGAGTTGAAAAGATAATTAAATGATATTGTTTTTGCTTTTGTTTTAGAATTTTATATATAAATATTTAGTTTGATCATCCACATGATATAAAAAGTTGTTTGACAATTATTTTGCATTTTTCATGATTATTATTATTTTCAATAATTTTTTTAATGATATAAATAAAAGTTTTGTTGTTGAAGTGATAACCACCAAAATGTGTGTCATATTATATTTTATCTACATTATAATACAATGTTATCGATAGCAAATAAACAACACCAAATTTCTTTACTTGATAATAATTATAAATTTCTCTCTAACTTTCTTGTTTTTTGTTTATTGTTTTTTGGCTCATTGATAATTATATACACATTAATACCCACAAAAAAACAAAACATCATTAGTATCTTGTGGCCGTAAGTTGTTGAAACATACGGAGATTGTTGTAACATTTTTTATAAACATTTCAACAATCAACCATCTTTATTTTTATTATATATTTTTAAATACATATTCAACCTGGTTTTTTGAAATGAAAACTTATCGTCTTTGTTTTTCAATTGCTTAAATGAATAGAATGTCAAAGTCGTCTTTATATACAATAAAATACAAATCACTCGTATCATTTAATAAAAAATCATTTGTTAATTCATTCTTTTTTATGTCTATCATGTTTATTACTACATTATTCATATAGCATTTTAAACAGTGTTTTAATGTTTGTAAGTATTTATTTTAATTTCATTATTATGTTGCTTGTGTTGAATTTTTTGAATTTTACAATTTATTTGGAAATGAAAAAACAACAATGTGTTGTTTATACCAAATTATAAAATTTGCTGTCAATTATTTATCTATTAAGTTATATAACAAAAATTTCTTTTGTTATCTTATTTTTTTCAATCGTACTAATTTGTCTTTTAATAAATTCAAAATATCAAAAATGTTGTTTTTAATTACAGTAAATAGCATCTATTTGTGGGTTTTATATTTGTGGGTTACTTCTATTTGTGGGTCAATGGACCAATCAAATGCAAAACCCACAAATAATTATTTTGCTCTGTAACTTTGAATTTAGGTACACTTAAATAAAAATTATAGTATTTTTATAATTAAAATACTCTAATATCATTAATATCTTTCATTTTTTATGTATAAAATAGTGAAAAGAATTTACATCACAATTCCATGATAAACCCACAAATAAATGTTTTTTTACTGTATTAATTTTTAATACATTTTTGAAGTATCTTTTTTTTCATTGATTTGTTGTTTTTGTGAATATTTTTTAAAATATTAATTAACTGGTATTTGAAATACTTTAAAATAAAAAATTATTTTATGAAAAAAACATTTATAATCAACATCATATAGTTGTTTTTTATTCTAAAAATCATACTAAACAATCAAAACAAACTGTTTTATTTTAATTCTAACACAAATTATTACCATTATTTAAAAATTGGAACTTTGACTCGAAATATTGAGTGTAAATTATAACTTGAATTAATGAGAGTTGGCCTTATGGGGAACTGAACCTTATAGATTTGTTTTTTGTATCCTCAGGAAAATATTTTTTAATAAGGATAGCTTTGATCCTGAGGATACACCTATTTACATTATTTTAATGTAAATAGACTAACCAAAAAATATTTATTTTTTAATTGTTGAACATGTTAACTTTTGAGAAACAATGTTTATCTTTTAAATATGAAAAATAATATTATTAACTTATTATATGACCTTAACATTTTGTTATAATGGAAGTTAACAAAATGATCTTCTATGTTTTATATTATTAAATTGTACATATGCACCAACTCGATAAATTTTTTTCAACACTCAAATTTATTAAAAAATATATACATATCATCGTTAACAAACAATGAATAAACTAACGTTACTATTAGACTCTGTTGTATTTATTTTAACATTTTTAAACCCTGATCACTTTGATAAATATTATTACGTAATTGTATGTTAATCAATTTTAATAATATTTACATTTCTTTGTATTTTTGTAACAATTTGTTTCCAACACTTTTTTGGTTTTTAAAAATCAATATTTATTAACGATTTCTTAAAATTTTTTTGTTAATACCAAACTTAATTTGTACGTGTTTCCTTATATTGTATTCTCTCGAAAATTACATAAAAATTTTCAAAATACAATAATTATTTTTATTAAATATCTGTTGCAATAAATTTTAATTATTTTTATGTCTTCTGAAATTGGATTTATATCAATATTAAAATTTAAACTATCCAACTTAGTTAAAAACTCTTTTTAATAAGTGATGCTAATTCATCAAATTATTTCTACAATTTATTTCAAAATACGGGTTAGTAATATTATCAACACAAAGAACTAAAATTGTTTTATTAATAATCGTGTAAATTCTTTTTTATCTATTCTTTTAAAAATAATTCGGCTTGATAACAGTTCCAATGTTGGTGGACATTTTAATTTCATATTAATCTTTAGAATGTTTCAGAAGCTCTGTCATTGACAACAAATTAAACCTTTTTAAAACAATTTTCGAAATTGAGTCGAATTGAAATTAAACATTTAATTATTTTGTTTAACAGCTTCGACCTTTATTTTTAAAAAAATACATTTTCTGTAAAGATTTTAATTAAAATATAATATATTTAATTATTAATATTATTTTTGCGATTTGATATTAACAATTAAATCAACTACAGTCAAATGCGTCTATTTGTCGTGAATCCAGCAGAAAATGTATCTACTTGTTGTAAATGAGTGAATTCTGAAGAAAATTCTTTTAAATATTGAATTTTATTTTTTATAAAAAATTTGGTTTTTAATTCAACAAAAGTTACAGGTTCGAAAACAAAATATTTAATTGTCGTACACCAAAATGATTGGCCAATTGTGCGACAAATAAACAATTTCGACAATTATAATTACGACAAATAGACGCCTTTGAATGTAATTGAATAAATTGTTTGTAAAGTTTAATACAACCAAAATAACATAAAATAGTAGTAAACAAATATGGCTCGTTTGCAAATTATAGTATAATATAATTTTTATTTCTTTCAATTTTAAAACATTCTGTATTATTTTAAAAACATTAATTAAAATCCCAAAAATAAAAATAAAAATACTTGTAAAACAGAACAATAAAAAATAAACTTTTAGTAGAGTTTTTTTATATCATTCCAATAAAATTTTGACATTTTAGATACAAAAACAAATTTGGTTGTTATAATTGTGTCAATGTTATACACAAGGGACGAAGTAAAATCCATTTTACCTGTTTACCGAAAAAGAGAAAAAATTGGTAAAATATTTCACCAATTTACGATCTTAAAGATCCCTATATTATAAAAAAAACATTTTTATTAAAAACCAAAAAGTAATAACATTTTGCATTTTCATTAATTTTGATTTAATTATAAAGTTTTTCGATTTTTGCCAACATTTAATTATTATTGCAATTGATGTTAAAAAATGAATTAAAAAACAAAAAAGACCAAAAAAATACAATAATAACCAATATCATTAAATTATTTTTTGAAAAAAAAACAATTCAAATGTTACTTTTGTTGTTTTTAAATTAATATAAACATTTTTGATGAGAAAATATTTTTATTTCATCGGAAGCTGATAAGTTAATATAAGTGAAAACAACATATAAATAACAAAATTTTTTATTTTAAATTTGACAAACAAATTTGTATTATTATATGACGCACATTATTAAAACGATTGGCGCTTTTTGTTTAAAAACATTGATTATCATTTACTACCGTATATAATTTTAAAATTAACGACTATTATTATCAATTAATGTAGTGAAAAGAAACGTAGATTGTATGTAAGTGATATTTAATTTTTGTTTTTGTACTTATTTCAAATAAACATTATTTTCATAAAATAAAAGAAATATTGTCTAGTAAAAAATGCGTTTTATGTCACATTTTTTAAATAAATATTGCAATACAACGTTATTTGACATAATAAGTTTCAAATTAAAGTTGTTATTATTTTAAAAATATGTCTGAAAGATAAAATCGAAATAATATATTCATCGTTAAATATTTTAATTATCAAAAATATAACGATTTAAATTCGTAATTATTATATTATATTACATTTGTTTTGAAATATAAAGTCTCAAATTATAATAAGTATTTTTAAGAGAATTTTTCAAAACCAAATAAACAGATGGTTACAAATAATGTTAGAGTTAATTAATCTAAAACATGGTTAGATGTTGTACAAATGATATTTCGATATATGTTGCTTATAATAATAAATTAAATTGATTATGAGCATTTCTCAATGTATTTTATATTAATTTTTAATATATATCCTAGATTTTCTAATAATATGTTTTTGATTTGTACCTTTTTTATTAAATAGAGTGTTGTTATTGTTTAAGTATTTATTAAAACATGTTTTGTGTAAATTGTTTTTTATTTATGATAAGTAAAAAATATTTACAATAAGATGAATATTGCCGCTCATTGGTAATTGTAAAAAAAATCATTATTGAATTTTTATTTTTTTTTCAAAATGCAGAAATTGTTTTTACCAAAAACATTAAAATGATATTTATTAAATTATTCTTTATAAACAAAACCAAAATTCTAGAACTTAAATAGTTCTATTTGGTGAAACGATTTCACCAAATAATTTACTAAAACATAAATTTTCAGTAAAATTATTTCACCATTTTACTTCATCCCTATTATACACATTCAATAAAAATCACTCAATCAAACGTTTTTTAATGTTTGATGATTTAGCAAACATTAAAAAGCATAATTATAGGTTATTTCACAAAATATTTAATCAATTCCATTATCAGGACACCAAAATATGAAAATACTAAAATAATGACATTGTGAAAGTAAAAAGCACTTTTAATTAAATAAGTGTTAATTTAAAAAATGTGATAACAATAAAAATATGATGAATGATATTTGGAATTGTGTTAAAATTTTAATAATATATTTATTATATATTATGTTGTGTTTCCAAACGTATGTTATCACTCTTGCACAAAAATAAGTTTTTTGTGTTTAATTTTGTATAAACAATAAAATCTATCAAAAGTTGGCATTTTTAACCAATCAAACTTAAATTACCGTCCGATAATAAACTCTATTTCTAGTTTTCAGTTTAAAAATGTTTGTTCTTGAGAAAACGCGCTCTTCAGAGTTATTGTTTTTGAGATTTTTTACTGAACATCGTTTTTTATATCTTAATTATTTATTTTAAATAAAAAACAAATGTGTACTATCATGTATAATTTTATGTTATATATTTATAGTACAGATGTCTATCATTATTTTATTACAATTATTTTGATTAATAACAAAATTTTAATATTTTATTAAAAAAATGCGATTTTTTTATAAATTTTATAAAAAAAAGTTCTAATATTTATTAATTATTAAATTATTATTATAATTAAAATGATAATAATAGATAATTCTAATAAACAGACATTTGAATATAAAAGATCTAAATTTCTGTGTTAAAAGTCCTTTGCAAAACTGAATTTATTCGACTTTTTTTTATCAAAATGTCCATTTTAAATAAAAAATAATAATCAAATTTGACAAGAACTTACAAAATTTCTTTTAAGTGACATTATCCAATCCAAAATATTAATTGCATAAAACAAACAACAGAACACGTGAAATACATATTATAATAAATAGTTATTATTAATTATGAAATATAGTTTCTGTCTTTCATATGAAAACGTTTTAAAAAATACCAAAACTTGAAATTCGAAACCAGAATTGGTGATGGCAAAATTGTGGCATTACATCCAAGAGAAAATTCCATTTCTGAAACCAAAACCCGAACAACCTCGTACTGTTCTTATTCCTCTTCCACCAAAGAGTAAGAAGTATTGTTCCAATAAAGTCGAGAACAACCGATACACATATGCCAATTACGTCTTCAAATGTCTTTTCAATCAGTTTAAATACTTTTATAACTTGTACTTCTTAGTCACCGCACTCTCCCAATTTATTCCAATTCTTCAAGTTGGGTATCGGTTCACTTATACAATGCCTCTGGCCTTTGTGGTCATACTCGCAATGGCCAAAGACGCGTACGATGACATTCGAATTCGAATCCGCGATGGGGTTTGTCCTGTTCTTCTCATTTTTTAATACTCACAAAATATAGTTTATTTATAATATTATTAAACTATATATTTTACTATTAAATATTAATGAAAATAATAATAAACAAACTATAATTATTGTTTATATTAACCAAAATGTAAAAATTTATTTGAGTTAAAACTTTTAATATAATTACTCTATTTTAAACTAGAAGATAAAGTTATTAAAAACAATAGAAAACTATATTATTTGCTATTATTTTAATATTAACATAATAATTCTAATAGTAATAGTATAATTATAGTATAATTATAGTATAATTATAGTAACTCTTACTTATACAACAAGTCATAACATTAATAATAAAAAGAATTAT